CCAGGATGTACCATGAGCTCACAAACTGTTTCAGAGTCCTCTGCAAAGACATTTTCTATGGCCTGTTTGAGCCTGGAGACTGTCATATCTTTCCCCATGGTGCTGAATCCAATAAAATGACTTGAAAACCTACAAGATAGGCATAAGTTAAACAATAGAACTGTCACTTGACACTTGCAGGCAGAGAACTATACTTACAACTGACTAGATAAATCCATGTCTAAGCTTCTGATTACAAACTCAGTATTTGACACATTTCTCTCACTGGAAATTCCCATACAAATCGGTCTAGACATCTCATTAAAATATGATTGAAGTAATTGCTTTGTTTTAGATATTCAAGTATGGCAGGCTCCCAAAAGAAAACCTTTCTAGCCTCCTAAATCAACTATCATCCCATCTCAGTTCATCACACTGATCTCACAGTTGCAGATTTCCATGTTGTGATGATGTCTTACACATTCTGTTGCATTTTAATAGACCACTTGTAGGTATGCTTTGCATCTGCTAATCCTTCTTTAAGCAGTGGGAAAGGTCCATAATGAGTTTTCTTGAAAATTTGACATCTTATTCAACATTGTTTTAAACAGTTACCTTATTCCATAGTTAGATAAAATTGACTTGGAATTTTCTGCATCTGCCATAACAGATTTGTTGAAATTGTTCACAGGTTCTTTGATCCATACACAATCCTCAAGGTTTATTTCCACTGGTACTCTTGTCCAACAAATTCCAAACTCTTTTATCACCTCACACATAACTTTGCACACTTGAGGCAATACATGAACATGTTGATGTCCATCGATATGCGTTGGTAATGATCCTATATTGTCAATAAACCACTGCAGTTGGCACTCTACTTCTTCTTTGATCTGCCTTGTCAAGAAAACAAATGCATGTCTGCTAACCCTTTAACTCCCATGGGTGACCAAAAAAAGAATTTTTCCTTACAATATCAATACAATATCAAGCAGAAAAGTGATGAGAATAAAGATTCTCCAAACCATCCTCAAAAAAATTGTACAGCAGACAGTAAGGAGAATTACCAATTGGATCTTGAAAGGGAAAGGGTTTAGTCAGGGTTTTCATTTACTTTTGAAGTAGAAGGGCACTGCCTTGTGAGTAGGTCGGTACACTGTATAATTGAGGGCCGAAGGCCTGAACCTCTAGGGGGGGTCTGGGGGCATGCTCCCCCCAGAAACTTTTAAAACTTAAGTCTCCCAGAAACGCACTTTTCTGCAATCTGGTGAAGAAATCTTTCTGGAATGACGCATACTTAATCTGATTATAGTAAAAATAATGGTACTCTGAGAGAATTTGTTTGTTTCTCTACACAGCTATAGCTACGTCAAAACACTGCTGTTGTTGTCAGAGCTTCCTCTAAAGAATGAAACTGACAACACTCTTTGTAGTTTATGAAAACTCAAAGTCAGAGCCGTAATCATTCCTTTCGTCACCATATATTACCCAGCAGTTAAAAATTTAAAACAAATGTTGATGGAACACAGGAGTCTGATACACAATCAGCCTTGCTGAAAACAATTTTTCCAAAACCTCCAATGGGCTTTATCTTCAATGAAAATTAAATTGGATCAAAGTTTCTTTCAATTGCTCGGAATATTTGAGCTTAAAAGCCAGCTAAATGTTGGCTTACTAAGAAGCCGTGTCAGCTGATAAGCATCTTTTATGGCGACATTCGTCTCCTGATGTCTATTTTATCTTCTGATAATACATAACTTTTTGGAAAGCCTTTTCACCGGCTATAATCCAACTAAAACCGGAAAGCATAACTTTAATTTTTTAGGTCATCCCTATTGAGTTTTCATGTGCAAACGAGTGCTTGCGTGAGTTTTACTTTTGCTTGCCATGATCACTCCGCAGAATGCACTTGCTTTTATGGCACGTCACGTTTAAGAGTTATGTAATAGCTTATTAGGCACTTTAGAAAGAGACAGTTCTAAGAACGCTACTTGGGACCTTGAGCAGTCAGGACGGCAACGCCAAGGAAGACTTCGTTTAAAAAACGAATTTCTGCCTATAATTTGAATTTCAAAAATGGCTGCATGAGTTTACCGTCTCATACAGCGCCACACCTCAACTTCAGCATAACGTATCAAAGAAGTGTTGAGTTACAACTAGAAATTAAAATAAATTGCCGTCGCAATTTCGGTTCGCAGACGACGCAAATTGTGGGGATTTCACATTGTTGTTTTGCATAGTACGGCTCAGAAATGTACAAATGCAGGTGCTGAGCTATTGTTCTGCCTATTATATCTTTTGTTTTTGCATGTCCTCGTTGCCGTCGCGTGGTTTCCTTAAAGGTCCCTCTCATCGCGCAGCGCCTTTCTCGTCAGAGTAAATTTTATTTCCACAATCTGATGGCAAGTAATTGATAAATAAGTGCAGAAAAAAATGTTTTAAACTTACTGGGAAGAGTTAAAATTTAGTTGAAGTTGATAGTATTTTTCATAACGATTTTCTTTTTTTAATTTCGTGCTTTAAGTAGCCGGGAACTC